GGGAGAGGTTGGTGGGTAGTTCTTGGGGTGCGTTTCGTATTTGAGGTTGTTCTATTGCTGACCTGTCGTACCCATGCAGTCATTCCTGTTAGTTACCTGTACCTTTGGCGTTGTGAGTGTCTGCAGGCTCGTGTACTACGACCTCTCTGACAAGCCCTTTTCGATAGGTGAACACGTGGGTAAGCACGCTTTGGTTCCATGTCGAGGTTGAGAGTTGGCAGCAGTCTTGACGCATCTAACGCTCATATAAACAGGGCGTGCGTCAATTCACTATGTTTTCCCTCATAATCACGTCCGTTCAATCGATCATATACTTTCTCAGGTCTACCAAAGCCTTTATGAAGAGTCTGTCCTGCCAGATTCCGATCCTTCCGCCATGCAAGTTTTCCATCCCCTCCGCTTTACTTTGCCACTAAAGCATCACACATACAGCGCCTGGATCGGTTCTGTGCAGTATTCCTTGATGCTCATGCCCGGGTTGATTTCGGGTCGACTGTTCGATATCGGGTACCTACACACCCCTTCTTGTCGCATCCGCCATTCTCGTCCTCTGCAATATCCTCGTGGCTGAGTGTAAGACGTATCTCCATTTTCTTTTCACGCAAGGTATCGTCACCGGGGTGAGTTTTGCCCAGTGAAATTGCTGTTTAATGCTGATTGTCTTTGTTTCTACCTTATGTAGCTCGCCAGTGCTTTTGTCGTCGGGCCTGCCGTGCCGGTTATCTCTCACTGGTGTAGGTCCCCCATCATCGATTTGTGACTAGGATGTAACCCTTGTTGCAGTCAAGAAACGACGAGCAACTGCAATCGGCATCGCGATAGCCGGTAAGCCACTCCTCGACCATACCCGACATGAACCAGACATTTCGCCTTTAGGGTCATCATTCGGAGGAATTGTTCTCCCAATCGTTATCAGACAACTTATTCCCGTCGTTGGGTGGGTGACTTCTCGTACGTCTAAGTAGAACATTCACGGATCCTTCGTTGCCTTAGCCGCAAGTGGACCATGAGGATCATGGGCCTGATCTTCTTGGTTTTTCTCGGGCTTGCAAATCTGGTATGCAGGTCGAACCTTCCTTGCCCGAAGGTCCAACGTGCTCATGTTATCTAGCTTGTCCGTCGCCGACTTCCGCCGGTCCGTGTCAGTGGAGGGCTGGTGGACCCTGGGGCTTTCAAGCAGACATCGTACAGTATATACTGTATTGGAACATTCGTCGGCTTCCTCGGGTGGTGTACTCCCATGGCCTTTCTCGACGTCAGCGCCATTGAGTCGGCTCATCTTTCACCTGAATTCTCCTTCTACCTCATTTCGATTGCGAACGCTACTTCCACGATTGGCCGTGTCGGAGGTGGCGTCTTGTCTGACAAGTTTGGCTGCCTTAATGTCCTCATACCCTCCGACATCATTGTTGCCGCCGTCACCATTGTCTGGCCACATTGCATGACCAAGGTCGGATTGATCAACGTGGCGGTATTTTATGGGTGCGTTCGTTTACTACTTCTTTCGTGCCTACTTTCTTACTTCGTTCGCAGGCTTGCTTATGGTAGTTCCGTTGGCTTATTTGGAGCCGCAGTCGCGGACCTCGGGGATCCTACTGACGTAGGAAGGCGAACTGTATGTCACGTTTCTGTTCTCGAATCCTACTTCACTTGCATACCTCTGTGGCTGGGGATGCTATACACAATTGCCTCCGTGAGTGCATTGATCGGGCCTCCGATTTCTGGCGCCATCTACCACAAGTCTGGGGGGTTCCAGGGTGTCGGGATCTTCGCAGGTACGTAACACGCTTTGGATGAAACTCCTCTCCTCACCCGTTATTTCCCTAGGTTGTGCTGTTCTTTGTAGTGGACTCATAGCCTTTTTTGCGAAGGTGGCCGCCAAAGGTACCTGGCGGGGCAAATTTTGATTTCCGGACCTACTATGATAGACATAGTCCAGTGATTCCGCACTGTTAGGGTGCACGCCGATTGCGAGGGTGAGTACCTTGCGGGGTGAATTAACTCACGTCGACCGCTCCCGATATAAGGCAACCAAGCCAAAACAATCGAGACAAAAGCTCGTGCATATCTTTTGCGAATTATTTTCGGCGATATTTGCTCGTCTTAATAGATCGGATCGCGTGGCCGAGCTCGCGCAATATCCCATCGCCATACCACGTATCCGAAACACGTGCAGCCCGAGGTCCTTGCCCTTCGCGTTTCGCCGGAATACGAACAGGAGCCATTTAGCCTCTGCAACAGAGCACCCGCGGTTTCTGCATTTTCGATGTACCTTTGGAGAAACTACATCGGACATGCAACGGTGCTTTTCTCTTGATCGTAAAGTCCGAACACATCGCCGACATCGTCCCGCCGGAAGGATCAACCCC